CTCTATCTCCTTCCTTCCCTTTTGTCTTTCCTTTCTTCTTTTTCCTTCATCCTTCCTTCCTTTCTTCCCTCTTTCATCCCTCCCTACTTCCCTCCCTCTATCTCCTTCCTTCCCTTTTGCCTTTCCTTCCTTCTCTTTTCTTCATCTTTCCTTCCTTCTTTCCTCCCTCCCTCTTTCCCCTTCCTTCTTTCCTTCCCTTTTGTCTTTCCTTCCTTCTCTCTTTCCTTCTCCTTCCTTCCCTTCCACACTTTCATCCTTCCATCCTTCCCTCTCTCCCTCTATCTCCCATCCTGTATCTGTGCCTTTTGTTTTCAAAGTGAGCTCATTTCCTGTCTCTGGCATCAACTCACTTCGATGTAGCAGCTGTCCGGGCTCTCTCGGTACGCAGAGGCGATGCTCGCTTGAACCGCCTGGATCCACGCCTGGCGCAGTTTCTCCGAATCGGCCTGAAGCATGCAGCTTCTGTGAGCGAAAGAAGCAGAGATAAATAGATAGATAGATAGATAGATAGATAGATAGATAGAGAGATGTCATAAGAAAATGCCAAGTGCCTGTTTCCAGAATCATGGAGGCAGCTCATTTATTTTTCTTGTAATATACATTACTGAAATTACTTTAAAAAATTGTCAAAAACCCATGGATCGTCTGAACATGTTGAAATTTGGTATGCTGACAGAGGAGGATGTTTTCTACCACTGTGGCAAGTTTCATCAAGATTGGTCTAAAAATGAGGGAGAATCCCCTGAAGTTTGCCCAGCGGTATTTGTTGATTTTCGAAGCAATTCGGAAATTTCTGAAAAAAAATTCGGAAAAATTCGGAATTTAATTCCAAATCGAACCTCCAGTGCTCCCTACATCCGAAACGAGTTTTGAACCTTTTATTTTTTGATCAACCAAGCCTACAACATACTGAATAGTATGACCTGGATATCCATAGCGTCCTAGAGTTGGAAGGCCCATAAACAAAGTGTCTACCAAGACTCCTACATTCATAGAATCCTAGAATCAAAGAGTTGGAAGAGACCTCATGGGCCATCCAGTCCAACCCCATTCTGCCA